AATTTGTCTCAAAGGAACAAGGCCCTTTATTGTGTTTGCTGGAGGAAAATAAAACAGCTGGTTTTCTGGAAACTCTTCTTTGTGATTTGAGGCTTTACCTGCAAAAAGCCATTGTAACCAATTTCACTGTAACAATTCTCACATTCTAGCTCTCCATGCAAAGTAAACTTGTGCCTCCTTCCATCGTCATTCAAATTCAGCTTCTGCAAACTCAAGCCGTTTATGCATTGAAACATGCATGACAGTAGTTTTGCCAGATACGGTTAGCGTCTTGGTTCTTTTTCGCTGGACCGATTTAACTCGACAGACTTATCGAGTTACCTATAGGAAACCAATACTTGAGAGAGAACAGAAATGTGAAACAAGAGAATGAATGCTGTTTCTTCCAGTCTTTCCTTCATCAACTATTTCTGTTCTTCATTTGTAAGCAGACAAAAGCAGAATGATAAGGAGCGGCCTTGCCTGGTTCTCGGCAAGCTCCCGTCCAGCGTGCAGAATCCCCTCACTCTCTCCTGCAGAACTGAGCGCCCTTTTGCGCTTGTTTAGGCATCTCACTCAGCCGTTCCAAAGGCCCTGAAAAAGCACCAAGAGAAGAACTCAGCAGCTTGGCAGGCTGTGCCTCTTGGAAACTTTGTAATGCAGGAGACAGTGCCCGCCATTGTGCTGCCTTTCTGCCATGAATGGGAGTAAAACAAGCTTGAATGAGTGACTCATTTCAGGGGTACATTGATGTTTACATTTGTCTTGCAGGACTTTGCATATTTTCTTTGGAGGCCTAATTTCAGTCACCATGAGAGTAACTTCTTTCTCTCTCTCTCTCTCTCTCTCTCTCTCTCTCTCTCTCTCTGTCTGTCTCTGTCTGTCTGTCTCTCTCTCTCTCTCTCTCTCTCTCGTCTGTCTGTCTGTCTCTCCTCTCTCTCTCTCTCTCTCTCTCTCTATATATATATATATATATATATATATATATATATATATATATATATATATATATATATATATACTGTTTTCTTTCATGACATGGATTTCATTTCTTCATCCATCCATTCAGACTAGCACAGCTTTTCCCTCTAGAGGCTTCCCTTCATCCCAGTGATGGATTTAAGCAGTTCTATCTCTCATGCATTTGTTTGTATGAATGTTCACAGAACCAAAATCCAGCCCATAATTGCTTTATGTGTTTGGATAGCCCTCCTTCTCCTCTAAGAATTCTCTTAGCCAAGTAATTAAGTATGTTTTTGGTTTTAATCCATTGTGATGCTGTTGGGATTTTTGACTATTTTGTAAGGATTGGTTTGTCTTTATTCAATCATTTTTTTAAAAGATATTCTTCATTATTAGCTGGTCAGACACTTCAGAAATGAATGGCATCAAATATAGTAAGTAAATGAGCCGAGGTGGCGCAGCAGTTAGAGTGCAGTACTGCAGGCCACTTTAGCTGACTGTGTTCAGCAGGTCAGCGGTTCAAATCTCACCGGCTCAAGGTTGACTCAGCCTTCCATCCTTCCGAGGTAGGTAAAATGAGGACCCAGATTGTTGGGGGCAATGTAAATATATATATATATATATATATATATATATATATATATATATATGTTTTCTGAGGTTTTCGCGGGTATTTGTATATAGGTCTTTGGTTGTTCGGGTTTTCTCCCGCGTAAAATTGGAAGTGTCTTGGCAACGTTTCGACGAAGTCACATTCGTCATCTTCAGGCTGGTGTTTTTAGCTTCTTGCTTTGAGCAGCAATGTGTGGTCTTAGCTGTTTCTTCCTTTTAACTGCCAGTGGGGTATGAACTGATTGGGTGGGAGCTTGGCTGTGTTCTGATTGGGTGGAGGTGTGTTCTGAATGGTTAGGGGCTTGGCTGTGCTCTGATTGGCTGGGGGAGTGTTCTGTTTGGTTGTGCTCAGGTTAGTCTGAGTTGCAGAGGGGTTTAAGATTTTGGGGTTAGGGAGTCGTTTGTCAATAAGGGCAGGTTTCCAAATGGCTGGTAGGCGGGAGGTATCATCTCGCTTGTTCATGCTGTGTGGGCGTTTTTCTATCTCGATGGCTTCTCTGATTATTCTGTTATTAAAATGTTCACTTTTGGCAATGGTTCTGGTATTTTTAAAGTCAATTTCATGTCCTGTGGCTTTAAGGTGTTGGACCAGGGAAGATGTTGGTTCCTCTTTTTTGACTGAGTTCTTATGTTCTTCAATGCGTGCACTTATTCTTCTGTTGGTTTGTCCGATGTATGTGGTGGGACAAGTGGTGCATGGGATTTCGTATACTCCTTGATTTTCTAATTCAATTTTATCTTTGGGGTTTCTAAGGATGGTGGATATTTTTCTGTTTGTGCAGAATGCTGTTTTGATGTTGTGTTTATGGAGGATCTTACTGATTCTGTCTGTGGTGCCTTTTATGTATGGGAGGAGGGCTTTGCCGTTTTCTTGTTCTTTGTCTTGGATTTTAGTGGGGGTTTCTTTTTGGATTAGGTTTGTAATCTTATTTCTATGGAATCCATTGGATGTTAGTACATTGGTGAGAGTGTGTAGTTCGGGTTTTAGGTGTTGTTCGTCAGCTAAGCGTTTTGTTCTGGAGATGAGTGTCTTGGCTACAGAGTTGATCTGTGCTGGGTGGTGGTGTGAGAGAGCGTGCAGATAGCGGTTTGTGTGTGTTTTCTTCTGGTAGATGGTGTGTCCTAGGGAGCCATTGGATTTCTTGTAGACTAAGACATCCAGGAAGGGAAGTTGGTTGTTAGCTTCTGTTTCCATGGTGAACTGTATTTTGGGGTGTAGGCTGTTGAGGTGTGTGAGGAAGTTGTCCAGTTTTTCTTTCCCATGTGGCCAGATTATGAAGGTGTCGTCTACATATCTGAGCCAGAGTTTGGGTTTGTGATCCGATTTTTCTAGAGCTTGGGTTTCAAAGTGTTCCATGTAGAGGTTGGCAATGACAGGTGAGAGGGGTGATCCCATGGGTGCTCCTTCTGTTTGTTTGTATTTTTGTCCATTATAGATGAAGTATGTGTTGGATAGGCAGTGGTTGGTCAGATCTAAGATGTGTTTGGGGGGGTTATATTTGTTTTGAATAGCTGTCAAGGCTTCTTTGATAGGCACTTGGGTGAAGAGGGATATGACATCGAAGCTCACTAGTAGGTCGCTGGGCTGTAAGTTTTGTTTCTTTATGATCTCTATAAACTGGAATGAGTTTTTTACGTGTGAGGTGATGGATTCTGCATAGGGCTGTAGTTGTTTGGCGAGAAATTTGGCTAGGTTTTGTAGAGGTGAGCCTATGGAGCTGACTATAGGTCTGAGTGGGGTTCCTTCTTTGTGTATCTTGGGGAGACCATAGAGTTTGGGGCATCTGGATGATTTCTCTCTGGGAATGATTCTTTGCTGGATCTCTTCGCTAATGGGGGAGGCTTTTATCTTGGTTCTGGTGGTTTTTTCCAGGTAGGTGGTGGGATCTGTATTTAGGGGTTTGTATGTGGAGTCTAGAACACTCCCCCAGCCAATCAGAGCACAGCCAAGCCCTTAACCATTCAGAACACACCTCCACCCAATCAGAACACAGCCAAGCTCCCACCCAATCAGTTCATACCCCCACTGGCAGTTAAAAGGAAGAAACAGCTAAGACCACACATTGCTGCTCAAAGCACGAAGCTGAAAACACCAGCCTGAAGATGACGAATGGGACTTCGTCGAAACATTGCCAAGACACTTCCAATTTTACGCGGGAGAAAACCCGAACAACCAAAGACATATATATATATATATATATATATATATATATATATATATATACACACACACACACATTGCTTACTGGTGTACACCGCTTAGAGAGTGCTTGCACTTAAAGCGGTTTATAAGTCTCATAAATAAATAAATAAATAAATGGATGAACATAAATATAGCAATGAAAACGTAAATGAGCTAAAAGTTCAAGAAATGTTTTAAAAATTAGTACAGAGAAGCATATTGGAAAACCCACTATCAAAATATTTTTTCTTGATTAATACACTGCACCCATTACAGTAGTACATATCAGAGAATTATCCACCAAACACAAATATATTTTTAACATAAACAACATAATAAAAGAATGCCACAGGAATTGGAAATTGAATCTCATAAACCTTATTTTGACTCTCAATAATGGGCTGCAAACTAAATCAGACCAGGATCATGCGGAGACTGGGACTGGCAAGCTTTGCCTGAATTGTGTAGTTTTGTACAGTTATATTCCAATCAGTATGCTTGTTGCAAACACCTAAGATTCCCAGATAGGGAAATTATTCCTTCTCACCTACCTCCGGTCTTCGTTATTTATTTCCATTGGAGTTAAATAAAGATAGCTCCAATGTGTGTTAATGTCCTAGCTAACTCAGTGGATCAAGTAATATCAATGGGCACAATACTATTGAATCAGAAAGCTTGAGAGAGTGAGTTTATGAAATGATTGATTGATTGATTTGATTTATACCTATAACTGGTTATAGAAGTTTACTTTATCATGCTGAGTTTTATGTCTTCTCTCTTTTTTATTTTTAAAGAAAGCTTTATTCTTAACTGGTGTTGGAGCAGGGGATTGTATCTTTAAAGAACTGTTATTTCAACATACCTAGGTTGTATTGAGCTAATTTGCCTAAGACACGGATGTCAAATTCGATCGTGTCACATGACATGACATATCACATTTTTTGCCTTTGCGGAGCCGGGGTGGGCATTTTTTATACCCCTGGCCTAAGAGGAAAGTAAATGAATGCCAGCTAGATGGCTCTCTTCCTCCCAGTGGTTTAGTTTAGCTTAGAGATTCTCTTTGTCAAAATAGGCAACATGCAGAAATGTCTTTGAAATGGCCCCAGAGAAAAATTGGTTGATTTGATAAAACTGAGAAATTAAATGTTAAGTTTTAGAAATAAATCCATTCTTCTCCAATGGAGTCTTCTTTAAAGTATATTTATTTATGAGTTTTAAAATAATTACAAAAAATAATTAGTTTTATGTTTTTGGTTTCTTTCAGGAATGATGGTGGTGATCGTATTATTGCTGATTGCTATTGTGGTTGTTGCTGTGTGGCCTACAAAGTAATCAGAGATTATCTCATTTTGCAACTAAGTGTTAATAGTCATCTATAGCAAGGACTACCCCACTTTGTTTTGGGCATTGTCCATGTTCTTGTTCCAGTATGAGAGACAGATCCATGCTTGAGCTGCATAAAGGTTCTACAAAATTCTGTATAAAACTTTATATACTCAAGAACATAATTGGAAAAGAAATGACTCACCTGAACTAACTTCAAGACATAAATTGAAATTAATTTCAAAGAAACACTTTGTCTATAAATACTTATAATAGTACTAAGTGGAATTTTCTCTTAATCTGCAGTGTCTAATTAAAATATTAGCATTTTCTTTCTTACATTAGTCCCTTATTGCTGAAATATATGCTTCTTCCTGAGAGAATGTCAAAGATTCAAGAGAAACTGCCATCTTTGAAGGGGGAACATCTTTCAAATAAAAAAAAAAATCCACAAAAATCTTTGACTTGAGTCAGAGGGCAATTACTATTGTAAAATGGTTGCTATCAGATATATATTTTGGAAAGAGAAGATAAAGTGTCTGTCCAAAAATGTAGAATCAAACATATTGTATTATACCTGGGTTTCTTTTCTTTATCAAGGTATATTAATAGCAGGAAAGAAAAGGAATTACTGTAGATACCCAGAGTTTCAAAATGTGTTTTTTTTTTCTATATCTGTTCTGAAAGTAAATGAAAATGATTCTCTTAGCAGAATTGTCAGGAAAATGACTTTCCTTCTCTCTGTAACTTTCCCTGAATACTCAAAATCTACACTGAAGGATTAGCAGAGCGCATTTTGGAGAATTATGAGGGCTGCAAGGGAGACATCCTGTTGCATCAACATCTTTTTATTTATGCAACACTGGATTAAACCCCAGTCTTAATCCATGTCCAGATATTGTTATTTTTGCTATGTATATATTGACATAATGGATAGTAAGGCAGTAAGACTGAATAGAAGCCATTTTAGATCTATAGGATTTCTTTTCTTATCTTGCATTTTACTTTATTTTGTACCCTTTCCTGCCGGGAATATTTAAAGCCTTTATCTGTGTTCTTGGATATCTAGGATTAATGACATTCTAGCCCATGTAGCATTGATATATGTTGGATAATTCAGATTTGAGAAAATGTGCTAAGAGATCTGAAGATTTCAGAAGAAAACTATATTAAGAGCCTTATCTACATCTCCAGTAAATATCTGAAACTCTTTAATAGACTTTTTTAAAGTGTTATTTAGTGTTTCAGAGTAATTGGTCTTCCTCATGTTTGACTGAATAGAATTGAAGAGCCATTATTGAATATGATAAAGGTTCAATTTAAAAACACACACAAATCAATATATTAATTAGAAAGATAGGATAAAAATCTGCAAATGAAATGTTTGACCAACTGGTATCAAAGGCTACTTTTTCTGTTGCCAGAGGTTTTTACCATAGGGGACCCATCACAAGAAGTTGTCTTTCAATTGTACAAACAAAAATGCAAACGATCATAATATAATTAATTGTATTAGACATGGATATCCCAAAGGTGCTTTTCAAAAGGCAACTGGACTTTTCATGACCTGGATGATTGAGAATATCCATAAACATGGATGTACTTGGTGATATCGATTAGAGCAATATAACTATACATTACAACTGAATTTGCTTAAAAAAAGGAAAATTCTATTTTGGGATATATTAATACCAGCAATAGAGTCTAGTTCCCAGGAAATAATCTGCTCACACTACTCTTCTTGGTCATTCTCCACTTGCAAAAGTATGTCCATGACAAACTGCATTGAATTCAGAGGAGACTCCAAAGAAAACTAAGTCCCTTGAGGAACATTTAAGGGATCTGGGTCTGTGTAACCTGCAGAAGACCGAGGGGGTCATGTGATACTAGTCTGTAGTACTGGCAGAATTGAGAAGGGAAAGGAGCAGACTTATTTATCTGTAAGTCAAGGCCAGAACCAATGGATAGAAGTTGCAGGGATATAGATTCAGCTTGTATATAAAAGGAATTTCCTGATGGTCAGAACTCCCAACTAATGCCATTGGTTGCTTTGTGTAGACGTATAGTTCCCCTTCAACAGAAGTCTTCAAACTGAATCTTGAGTTGTCCCAATTATTTAGCAGATCCTTCACTGAGCCAAAGGATTAAACTAGGTGACTTAATGAGGTCTTTCCAACTCTGTGGTGAAAAATAAGAGTCAGAGGGAGCAGCTTCCTTTTTACTGAAAGGTAAGAGGATCACTTTTCCACTGAAGAATTCTGGTCACTTCAGTTTAGGTTTTCACTATTACTGGAGAAATACGCTTTTGAAGCTGGAACAAGTTGGTTTTTTTTCTGTATTTATGAATTCATTTGGAGCAAAAAGGGATCAGAGAGACTTGATAGCTTTTAGGTAAATCAAGCACAGAAAAGATTGGCTTATCCCCCGATCTTCAGCTAAAATTGATTAATGCTATTTTCCCAAGTGATAGTTCTCCTTGGAGAAAGATATTTAAAACTATCTCCTTGCTGTGAAAAGAAATAATGCATTTTATGGTGGAATATTTTTCTAATACTGGTAGCATGATAGATTTTTTTATAAAATTTTTAAAATGATTGGTTCTTGAAATTACATATGGAAAGCTTTTAGATATTTTCACACCTTCCCATATTTTATATTCATTTTTATAACAATGCAGTAAATTTAGCCAAGCTGAGAGAAAAGCAGCTGAATCTCTTGTGTTGAAATGAATTTTGAGCTAAAGACTTTCTGGATATTTGCGTGCAGAATTGGGAAATGCGGCACCCAGCTAATACCAACTGGCCTATCTGTCATATGAAGATTGAGCTAACTCTTTTTTCAGGTCAAATAAATAGTGTTTTTAAACTTAAAATGTGTATTGGATGAACAGATAAATCCAAATGAAATTGTGCAGACACATCGTTTATACAGTATATATTGGAGTTACCACAGAGAGTTTGGCACAGTTTGGATAATAGAATCTCTGCTTCTCATCTAATTAAAGGAACCAGTTGCAAGTTAATAATTGACTGGCTGTTTTCAGAAGAGGAGCTCATGTTCCCTTGAAGCTGAAAAGGAAGTGTTGCTTTGTTCATTCTGATGCAACAGAAGAAACTGCCATGAGTAGAAGTTTATAATAGTTTATTTGACAGTTGTCTGGATTTAGTCTTATCAAGTGGATTCTGCACTGTTACATGCTCCATCTGGTTCATTATATGATCCCATCTAACAAATGAAGGTAAATGAAGGGTGGGTAAATAAGAACATCCACAACTTTTTTCCCCACATGTCATTAAATATATTCATATATATATAAAACCATAATATATTAGTATGTATTGTAAAGAAACATTGTCGCAAATCTATATGCAAAGGTCATAACTAAGCAACATTTACAATTCATAATTATTAACAGGAATAATAGGAACAGAGGAGTATTATCCCTGTATAATGGGGGGGGGGAGTTAAGGCGATCAAGGGAACAAACATACAGTGTACCATGGAACAAGGGGAACAAAGTTGTATTACTTGTGTCTGAACATTTCAGTTGCTTCTTAGAATGGTTTGTGTTGCGTTCCATTTGTTAATGTAGAGCTTGGAATATTCTCAAGAGTGCCTCAAGATTAGAGATTATATCAGTAGTCTTTATAACCCTCTCCTGCCACTCTTTTAAAAAAGGTGTAAGGCACCAATTGGTTCTACTGCAGATAGTATATCTCACTGTATGTGTGCTAGTGATACTTTTGCCATCCAGAAAAATAAGATGATTTTCTTATAATTAAAATTTGTGTCTTAAAGTTGCAAAGTTGTCTTAAACAATGCAAGGTTGCATTATTTTAGCAGGAGTTTAGGAAGCTTTCCGGCTATTTAAGCCATTGCATTTGATAGAGCACTCTTGCTCTGTGCTCAGCCTATAAACTTCAGTTGCATTAAGAGTTTCCTTTTGCCTAACTGTTGGCCTTCAAATAAAATTACCAGCTGAAAATGTAGATGACCTTGGTTATATGCTGTCTCCTGAGAACATATGATTATGTGGTGAGAATTATGCCTCTACCAATAAGTGGCCTAAAATATTGCAATGGATTTTATTTTATTCTTTTCGGTGTTTTTCTTTATTTGAAGCTGAAATGGTCTGTTAAATATAAGGAAGTATAGTTATGTATACAAAGCTATATTTACTGTTTATAGAAGTACAGAACAAGCCCTTAATCATGTCAAGATAGACACTATTGAACAAACAAAAAGATACTTTTTTTTACTACTGTGGGCAGAATCGGTATTGTTATAATATTTTCTAGAGTATTATATTTTTGATTAATATATAGATTCTGCACTCTAGCTATTTTACATTTTGTACTAATTCTACAATCAGCCTTGATTTTTTTTTTGTACTTCTCCATTTGCTAGTTGATGCAACTATCACATTTCACAGCTTTTCAGAATATTTGTGTTAGAGAAAATAAGACTTTTTTCAACTCTCTGAAAGAGATTAGACACCATGAACATATATGTTTTGTAATCATGTTGAATGATTATACATAGTGGTTATCAATATTTAAAAAAGCAAACACAAATTGCCTCCCACATTTCTGTATAGGATTATAGTAATGTTTGCTGCTTTGTCGTCAAGATCATGGACTTGGCAACAAAGGCACTGTCATAAGAACATTTTACCAAGAAAACACCTTGTTAATCTAAGAGATTACCCATTTGTAAATTAAGATAAATTTACTTTCTTTTGAGGTGATGATTATAGGCCAGGCCTGCCTCCCCTCCCCCATCTTGTCTTGAAATGCACACAAAATCATTGCATCAAACTGCCCAACACATTACATGAAAATTGAGGAACAATTTCTAAAGGAATTTCATGAAATCCTAAACATTACAAGCAGATCAGACAAAGCAATGCACAAGACCACCAAAATTGTCTTTTAGGAATTCATGGAAATACATAGCTTGTGACATAATTGATATTTCTGAGTTTTTTCTTGAATGTAATAACTATTAATGATCCTGAAAATCTGTGATGTGGTTAAACTTTGTATACTGTTAGTAATCTCTCTCTCTCTCACTCCAGCCTTATGCTTTGTTCACAGTTCACCCTAGTGCTGTTATAGTTTTGTGGGCTACCTCACAATGCCAAAGAATTATTTAAAAACAACAACAAATCAAGACTTCTGTAAAGTCCTGACCTGTCTTTAATCAGCACAATCTGAATGAAAAATAAATGGTCATACTAAAAGCAAAAAAAAAAAAAAAAAGCCAAAAAAGCAAAAAAAAAAAAAAATCTGAATGAGCAAATGGCCCAAGTATTTTGAAAAAACAACAACAAACTACTAAATGGGGAAAGATACCTCATCACTACTGCTAATGCAATTTGACTCTAAATAGATACCTTGTTTTCATACATCCTAGATAAACAAAATCCAATGCAAAGCAGCATAGCGTTTTTCCTAGGACATGACCCACAGGAAAGTGGGTCACCATGGAAACAACTTTGTGTTTCTTAGTAAAATATATATTGGATATAATTAAATGCGTCTTCTTTTACTTATTTTTTTCTATTCATTTCCACATTGCTGTCTGGATAGTGGATCTTCTGTTATTTTGTGCCAGAGTAAAAGCTTGGTATCACTGGCTTTGGGTTCTCTGCTTTGGCTGCTAAAAACAACTGGAAATCAATCTGTTGATCTTGGCTAGATTTGGTGGGGTGGGTATAAAGTGCTCAGCAGCTACAAGCGTGCTGTTCTTTCTTTGAAGAACTTCAGTAGTAGATACTGATTATATTGCGTTTCTCATAAAGTGGATCTAGAGGCGGTTGATTCTTTCAGAGAACTCAACCTGAAAAAACTAGAGCTATAGAGATACTTTACATGAAAAATAAACCAAAATGAAACCAATTTTAATTAGTTCAAACCTCTATTAAGAAACTATTGTCAATTCTTGAAGGCAGTGTGCATCTCCGAGAACAGTATTTAGCCTTTTTTGTTATTCCATCAAAGCTTTCAATATCACATTTCTGTAGTTTTGACAACAGCTTGCCATTTTCTGTAATAATGTTTAAGGTTAAGGTTACTTTTAAATCTTGCCGAGTGATGTAGAGTTGCCAGTCATATCTTCTGTGTGTCTGAAATGGTGTCTTTGCACACATTAGAAATATCCAGCTTGCTTTTACCAATATTCCTTAGTTTTCTGATTGTAACTACATTGTTTGTGTGTGCCTATATCTGTATATGTATAGTATATATATGAATGCATACATTAATTTTATAAGCCTAAGGCAAGAGTTTGAGCAAAAATAACAGGATTTCAGCTGGCATTCTAATGAATACTTCAATGATCTGGAAAGTTAATTTTGACATGCTCAAATATGCTGGATAGTATTTCCATATGATGAGCAAGCTGAGAGTAGAAAGTTGAGAAGTTTTACTGAGGTTAATACAAAAAGCCCCAGCTAAACTACACATAAGGGGCCTCTATTATCATGAACGTCCCCTAGCAGATAAATCAAGGTTGGAAATTATAAAATGTTTGAAAGCTGCTATTTTCTAAGAGAAGCAACTTTTGGAATGCACAGACTGATCTCCATGTGTATCATGATGAGTTGGTAAAATGGGCTGTATCAAAGATGGAAGGATGTTACTTTCTAATATTACCCAATGTGTAACATTTCTTGCTAGGAACAGAATTCAGAAGGGAAATCACAGCCATATATTATGGAGAGAAATACCCACAATGTAAACTCCCTTCTCAGTTGGTATTCTAAAATGTAAGGCTGAGATTTACTTTCATTCCTATAGTTTTATAGACTAAGCCATTTTTGGACTTTCCCGAAAGGTATATAAAATTCCTTCTGGATTCAAAATCAGAACTGATGAAATCTCTGCTGACACAGACACCAATGCTGAGAGAATGGTCTATGCATTTTTCTGTCAAAAATTCAGCTGATGGAAAAAAGGGAGAGTCCAGAAGTTTCTGCGAGTGTGCAAAGCAACTAAGTCAGCCTATTCTCCTCTTTCCCAGGAACAATTTCTCTTAAACCCCCCCCCCCCCACCATCCACTTCGCTGGCATCTGGCCATTTTACACTTATTTGTGCTGAAGTTAATTTTATGATAGTTTATGTAACATAAATATAAGTATTGTCAATTACTATAAAACAAGGCAAAATCACTGGAAAATTTCATTAAGAAAATGCTTCCAAGTTTCCTAAGGAGCAACATCTTGGGGAAGTTTGAGCTTTGCAGGTCAAGCATCCCTGAGTTTACGCCTATCCAGACAGCCTTCCTGGTTTGCTTGCAGGAGAAGTGGAGATTGTATGAACAGAAAACTCGCTTCTGGTGAACTTCAATATGGAAGAGAAAGCCCATTGCCAACTTTTCTGTTTAAGGAAGTGCAGAGAATTTTTGTAGAGGAAATAGGGTAGAATGATTCCCTCATTCTAAATTATAGTCAGTACCAAAATTTACAAGTAAGAAATTAAAGGTACATATAAGAAGCTCTTTAAAACAAAAGGATTGATCAGCTATGACTCTTTTTCATCTTTATAAGCCATAGTAAAACTTTTTTGATTTTTTCCCCTTCTCTTCATCCATGCATATAGGTAAGATACAAATCTTGACAAATTCAGCCAGCTCATAAGATTATCTGCAGAAACACGCTTGATAGAGAGCAGCATTGTTGGACTCTTACATGAGATATTAATGACCGCAATTGAGACACACTAATGTGGAGAGATGGAATTTCATTGCACACTTTCCTAATGCAAGCTTCCATGGTCTGGGAGCTGAAGTATTAACACAGTGTTATCTCAAGAGAAAAATCAATATAGGATCTGTCCTGTGTAACTTTTGCTTTATGCAATTGAGATGAATACTGATTATTTATAAAGCAGTTATTATTTTTGAGATAACATCTGTTTCATGTTTTGATGAATTTAGAAAGAAAAATAAACTCTCTTGCTGGAGTTGCGTTCACAAATTCAGCAGTGCAAGAGGTTTTTCTAAAAAGCCAGGTCTAGTAATTGGACCCTTCTTTTAGCTGAGTGTTGACTAGTGTTCTTCTACGCATTGCCTACTCATTATTCAACTGTTCCATAAATGCATCCTTCTTCACAATTCTTCATCTTCCTTTCTTTAGGAATAAGTTGCCTTTTTGACATGAGCAATAAGAATTTAGTGTACGTTTCACACATCTGTGACTGCTCTCATTTACAATGGCTAGTATGTCAGATTGCACAAGCAATCTCATATGTCCTGTAAGTTGCTGTGTAACAGATGATAGAAGAACCATCCAGCAGACTATTATGCAGTTATAGCCCCACGATCAATTTTTAACCAACAATCCCTTTCGTCTATTCCACCAAGACCAATCTGCAAGTGAAGAAATATAAGAGGATAGTTTCTGAACAGTATCATTCTTTTCAATGACAAGCTGGTTGGTTCTTATGTTTGGAATTGAGAAGTAGTTAATGTGGTGAATTTAAGGCAGTTCATCATCCTTCAGACCAAAATGATTTGAGAAAAATGTGAAAAAAAAGGAAATCAAATGGGAGAACGGGAAGTAGTAACTGATCTAATATTTGTTACTATGGTGAGTAGGGATTTACAATTAGTTTTCTCACTAGTTTTTGTGTGGGTTTTGTATTTATGAGGGTCAAAATGGGCATAACTCACGGGCTATTAATTCCTCACTTGTCCTCCCCACCCAGTTGCATATAAATTGCAAAGTGAGCTTCTTGCCAGTGTCCCTAATCCCACCTCATCTGCTCTGACTCGGACACGAAAGGATGTGCAGTCTTTTCTTGTCTCTGATCTCCCCTCTAGGCTTTCTTGCATTTCCCCTTCTTTTCTCGTTGCTGGAACTTCCTCAGTCGCCTGGCCCATGTGTCCCTCCACTGTATCACAAGGCTGCTTTTGTCGGCTACAATGCCATTCTGATCTGGAGAGTTCTCATCATGGCCCAGTAACAAATATTTCTTCATAGGCTTGATCTTGGGACACTTGCAGGCAATGTCCTTGGAGCGTATCCAGAGGATCTGGTCACCGCGCCGGATCCTATTCACCCCTTGCTTGTAAACAGAGATGATGTTGACTGTGAACTTCCACCATTCTGCAGCTTTCTCTGCTTTCAGGATGTGGATCTGGACAGCTGGAGACAGAAAGTCAGGAGAAGGTCATTTCTTTCATGGATTTTGCAGTTATCCTCAAGATAGTCAAGCACAAGTTACAGTGGAAAGCAAGATTTGCATGTGTTCACCCATTACACAGAAATGTAATATGATTTCTGTTAGGGTTTTGTATGCCCCTAATGTTTAATTTCTTGTGCTTGGCTGAGGGTCACACATTCAGTTCAAAATGAAAAGCGGTGCTTACTTTAATAATTCAATAATAATTCAATCTGGGTTATTGATTTAAAAATGGAATAGTTCTTTAAATTATTATTTGTGCATTCCTATTTTTAAGAGAGATTATATTAAGATTATATTACATTTAGAGAGAATATATAGTCTGGGTATAATCTTTGGCTCCAGTGTTCACACAGCATGCTTAACCTGGTCATTTACACATTTACAATACTTTAAAAATGAATGGTTTTAACTTTTATCTGTGTATGGATTTTGGGGGCAAGGGGCATGCATAGGTTGTTCAGATGCAGATTGTCTGGCTGATTTATGCTTCAGTATGATGTTTGCATCCCCAAAAGGCTTTTTCACCAACCTATTTAAGTATTTTGTTCATATCTTCCAATGTTTACTAAATCTCTCTTACAGAAGATTTTTTCTGTAAATGATTCAGTACTTCAACCTAGCTGCCCCAAGCAAAGAATATATGAGAATATATGTTCAATCTTTTTCCTCTCTTTGTCGTGATCTAGAGACTTTTCTTTCTTTGTGATGATGTCCTATATTCCAAGCCTAACAACGATGGGAAGAAATTAAAAGAGGGAAAGAGACAGAAACCATACTGACCCAATATGATGAAAGTGGCCATGGTAACAAAAGGCACTACTTTCATTTTCAACAAAGAGAAGAGGTGGGGGAAAAACAAAAACTCACCTAAGACTTTGTCACTTTGTGTTGTTTTGGCTTATCATGAACCAACTCCTGTAAAGAATCTTACATTTGATGAGATTAATAAGCTATCCTATTTTATTTTGAGTAGAAGCTAATTAGAATCTCAGAAATCAAGAAGTATACATCGTAAGGAGGAAGAAGAAATTTGATACTACAGTGAAATAGAGGGAAGAATTAATCATAAATTAACCAAATAATCTCAGATCTTCAACAGTATCAAAAATAAAACCAAGTAAGCCTGGAATGAAACAATGAAATATTTCAGAAGAGAAGATTGTTATTGCTGTGTAATGATTTGGTGCTGAATTCAGATTGAACTACATTTTGTGCAATTGAGGATACTGCAGTCGTTGGATAGCACTATATTGTTTACGTTGTAAGCTGCCCAGAGTCGCTTTAGATGGGAGAGATGGGTGGCACAAAATTCAATCAATAGTGAACATGGGCCTCTCCCACACTTGAGATTGACTTCCATTTTCATCTTTCACCTTTCCTTGGTGAGTAACAGTGGCAGCCAACCTCAGACTTGCAGGTTGAACAGTTCCAGCCAGTTCCCAAAGGCTGCAGTCATTTGCAGGCTTTGCAGGCTCTTAGGAGGACCCTGCTTTGACTATGTCAAGTAGCAGGCAGAAGAGCTGACACACAAATGCCAGCAGTGCTCCATCCCAGGAAAGTGTCTCATGGACTGCCATTGATGCCCTCCACAGAATGCCTTGCATGCAGAAGCCCTGGGTGCCTAAATAGTTCACTGGTGAGTGAGAAAAGAGCAGCCACTGCCAGCGGAAAGGAGGTGAGGAACAGCTGGACCATTAGAAGTAGATCTCTGAGAAGCTGTTCTTCCTCCCCCTCCATCCCAGGGGAAGAAGCAGCCTGCAGAAAGGCAGGGAAGCTCTCATCTTGTGTAAGAGCAGCACGCCTTATCCTAATCTGTCTTTCACCTGCTGACAGGCCTACCATCGCCTGGTTGCCTGCCAAGAGCTCAAAGAGGCATTTGCCTAAAAGAAAACTTCCAAGCTAGCTGGTTAACAGGGTTGAGAACCTCTCACAGCAGGGGAAAGGAAGCAGCCACCAGAGATAACTCCATCTGGTTCCACTCATTAAAAAGCTTGTTCTTTGAGCCTGAAAGCTATCCTGTTCAATCTCCATCCTGGTAGCAGGGAGAACACATTTGCAATGGCAGTGGGGAGGGGGGGCAGAAAAGAGAGCAAGCAGCAGAGCCCCCATAAGCAGCTTCACAAGATACTGCTTTCCAGCAATTCTCCCTCCCCCCCCCACCTCCAAGGGAAAGACCCAAAGAAAGTAAGCGACATTTTTTTTTTCTTGCCTGGGCTCCTGGGCACACTACTTCTGACATACAGATTCAGCTTTTTCTAAATCTATCTTAGATGTGCATACTTTTGAGATGGTGACCAGAAAAAGTTGGGCTTCCCATCCTCCTGGTGGCTTGCCAGCTGTACTGTTCAAGAAAAACAGTAAACAGTTCTAATTTTATTTATTTATTTATATCCCACTTTTATGGTTTCTCTAAATGTTGAAGACTTCCTCTTATGGTAAATTTGCATTTCTCAGAATGCCAGCTGCATTCGCAGCCTAGGCAGGGCTCCAACTATTATACTCAAGCAAAAGCTGTGGGAAAATGGGTGGATTATCGGTAGAAGAATAAGGAGACCTCAAGGATGAGATGTTTTAGCTGAGAAGAGCTCTCTCTCCAGAGAAAGGCTAATATAAGTAAGAAATAGGCAAGATAAACATTCACACCAAATACTTATAATTTGGGAAAGTTTGTTTGCTATGGTCTTTATCAGCTTTGATCTTCTTGCAAGATTTTTAAAGAATTACTGTGCTGAGGACTGATGCACACCCAATAAATATACAGTACTGAAAGGAGATTGGAGCCACATTGGTCATTAATGTGCTACTAACCAACCACCAGATGGCACTATAGCACCATAGGCACTGAGAAATTGTGACCACTTCACAAAATGAAAGAAGGCACCACCTACACACATGCTAACCCCATTAATAAAGTCTGGCTTAATTTTACTTGTAGATGCCAACAAGATTGTACTTTAAATGGCTTGCTTCTTTTCCAGCATGGTAGACACTGTATAATGTATAAATAAGAATTCTTAATGGTTATTGTGGTGTGGGAGAAGTCATTCTGCATTCAGAATTTTCATCCATTGAAATTTCAAAGATATATCAAAAAACCTTTAAAATAGTAAGGGGGGGAATGTTCTTTGAATATATTTCAGTCTTATATTAAATAAAGGCAAGACTATCAAACTAAACCAAACCTTGGTTTCAAAGGGCTATTCATTATAGCCATTTGGAATACCTTCCCATCTTTTCCAGTGTGTACAGGTTTAAAGCTGTCCAATTAATCCCTATTGGCTCTTAGCAGCTATTCTAGTTCCTATTATTGGCAAATTCAGAGGTATTTGGAGTGGGGCAACTTAGAAATTTAAATCATAGTAAAAAATAATGTCCACCCGCTTTGTAGCAACAATCATCACAATAATTTTTTAATCTTTGAAATGGGAACAGATTTATATAGTTTTCTTTTGTTTCGTTTAAATTTAAACATCTTCAACACAGCTTTTGCAATTGTGTGATTCATTTTGTCATTGCCTTTACATGGTTTTAACAGATTTTGCTGTGCTCTCTTCCCCTGTGGCTTATGAGCATCCTGTCAGAAGCTGATCTGTCACAGAGATTTCCCACATTACACGCAGGGGCATACAGCGGCAAGAAACTGTACCGTAGTTGTCACCCTTGGAAAATTCTCCTAGCACAAAGAATAGCTTTAGCGTATTACAGTATATGTTTTGCAGAAGAGTTATTAGAATAGCATATGTTTCTTCTTTCTTTCTCTTTCTATCCCCAGGAGTTTTGGGCTAAAATGTGGAACATTTTTTAAAAATCTTTTGAAAACATTTTTTTTATTTTTTTCATGAACAATTGCCTTTCAACAAAGAGGATGACTAACCAGAGTCTTCATGAAAGAAGGATTTTTACAAAGAAGTTTGCAACTAGGGTGGTGATCTCATCTTTTGGAACCCTCCCCCTGCAATTTACCCTCTCTTGCACATCTAAACATGTACACTCTTATTTACACACACTATTTTTTCTTAATAAATATAATAATTGACTGGTGGGAAGGTAATGCTTCTTGCTAGGTTCTCACTGATGTTTTGTGAAATAAAAGTTCCATTGGACTGTCTATCTCAGAACCAAAGTAAAATGAAATCGTCTTCAAATCAAACTTTACTCCTAGTGGCTTCATGTAGATACCCATACCGTTTTCTTGACAACAATGGTCCTTCACTACCTTCTTCGGTTTGTTAGTTTGTTTATTTTACATTCTAGTTTAGTCAACTTCTCAGCCTAGTCTACAGTTCTGGAATATTTGGTGAGGGCTTACTAGACTTGAGCCTGCAGAATGAGATAAGGCATACTCTTGTTGGATGACTAATTTCACCAAAAAGATGTCAGGGTTTTTGGAAATAAATCAAGGTGCATATCTGCCTGAAATACTACAATTCCATCTGCCTAGAATAGAAAGTGGACATGTATGCATGTTTGCCTACTCAGGTTTATGCGAAAGAGTGAAGTAGAATGGAATAAACAATGCATCAGCATTAAAAGATTAAAGACCCCAAGAAACTGAAACCTTCTCTTGTCTTTCTCAATCTACATATAGCATTACACCAACCAGTTAAGGAACACATAGTCTTCCTATATTTCTTTGGGGGGGGGGATAATGACATCTCAATTGAACAGGTGTTAATGATTCCCTGGGATACCAAAGGTGTCCCCATATGCCATTGCATCTAGCTTGAATGGACACTTCTGCTTTTGATTCTTCGTATCGCTGTTTTTAAATTAACCATCAGTTATTTCTGTATGAAAAATCAGTACAAACCAAAGATGAAAGAACTCCCACTACCCCACCACAATAGTATTTCATTGTTGCTCATGGTTTGACTGTGCCTTGTATTTAATGCTACCTGTCTTTAGTAGAATTTTAAGAATTGATTTGGAGTATATGCAGTTTGTGGCGGTTTTCAGTTTA